ACTTAAAGAGAAAACGGTTCAATTATTTGAATTATAAATTCAAGCCATCACTTAAATGTTTGTTTCAAGTCCAACTGCTTTGTTTTTCAATACAGAGACAACGTCTATTTGGTATTCTTTGCAGACACATATGCCTGGGCCTACAGTTAATGAATAACTTCCCTGCTGATTTTGGGGGGTTTAATTTCATTCTGTTTCACTTAGCTCTCAACACTGTATTTATTAGCGATCAATAATCACATTATTGTGTGCTAACAGATGCCTCTAACACTTAAATAATTCTCTCAAGGATTTGGGAAGCCATTTAATATTAGTTATTAATATTAGCTGGCTAAAGGTTGGTGGTTTTCAAGTAGCATAGGGAAACACCCGGTTCTCTTACCAGGACAAATACCATATTCATCAAGGTCGACCATCTGCCATAATAAATGATCCCCACATCTCAGTGGCTTAAGACAGTAAGAGTAAATTTTTCACTCCCATTTTCTCACAGTTAGGGTTGGTAGTCGGGCGTTCTGCTCCCCGTGGCCCTTCAGACACAGCTGGCTTCTCTCCTAGGGCTCTATTTTCCAGGTTTTAGGCATTCTCTCTGTCCTACCCATGAATGGAAAGAGTGGAGGATGCTGGGGGGCTGGGAGTTTTTCGGATGGGCCCTTCTGGGTGTCACTTCTACCATATCCCATTGGCTGGCACTACACCTGACCGCAAGGGATGCTGGGAAGTAGCAGAGTTACACACCCAGGAGAAGGAGGAAATGGCTTTCGTGAGCACCTAGCCACCAAATAAAATCGAGTCTCTGTCACAAATACTGAAAGAAACTGCTAGGCAAGAAAAAGTAATAGGGAATTCAATTTAAAAGGTTTTTTTTAAATTAATAATGATATAATTGAAAATTATGACCTTTTGCATACAAGCCAATCTAGTGAGAATAACAGGTGTTCTAAATTCAAGTCAACTTTTTACAAGTTATTTACAAGCAGCTGTCTAAGGGCAAATTTTTTTTATTATGGTAAAAGTGTCATAAAATAAAGTTTAACATGGTAACTCTTTTTAAGTGTAGAGTTCAACCACATTCAGTACGCTCACACTGCTGGCCAACTGTCTCCACAGCCCTCCTCACATATCGAAACTCTGGAACCATTAAACACTTAAATCCTCAATCCCCTCCCCCCACCCAGCCTCTTGGAATCACCATTCTACATTGTGTCTTTAAGAATTCAACCATTTGGGGTGCCTGGGTGGCTCTGTTGGTTAAGCAACTGCCTTCAGCTCAGGTGATGATCCTGGAGTCCCCGGATTGAGTCCCCCATTAGGTTCCCAGCTCCATGGGGAGTCTGCTTCTCCCTCTGACCTTCTCCTCGCTCATGCTCTTTCTCACTGTCTCTCTCTCAAATAAATAAACAAAATATTTTTTAAAAAAAGAATTCAACCATTTTTAGGCACCTTATATAAGTGAAATCCTACAGCATTTGTCCTTTTGCATCTGGCTTATTTCACTTAAAATAATACCTTCAAAGTTCCTTGGTGTTGTGGCATTATCAACGTTCCTTTTAAGGCTAAATAACACTCCATTGTATGTGTCTACTACATTTTGTTTACCCATTCATCCATCAATGGGCCCTTGGATTGTTGCCACCTTTTAACTATTGTGAATAATGCTGTTAGGAACACTGGTGTACAAATATCTCTTCAAGTCCTGCTTTCACCTTCTTTGGCTAAATACCCAGAAGGGGAGTTGCTGGATCCTTTGGTAATTCTCTGTTTAAGTTTTTGAGGAACTGCTCTATTTTCCACAGTGGCCATTAGAGTCTTAATAACGCCGGAGACAAACTTGTAATTGGCTTCAACAAAAAGTTGTAAATGACTCATTTGTAAAGGTACACTCCCCATTAAAAAGTTTCCTGAATTGGGAGATTATGTGTTTTCAATTTAGCTGGGTAAGAACTAGAAAAGTTTTAATTTCATTTTTCTTTTGCCTCTAGGTGAAGTAATAAAATATACTGAGTAATTAGTTGTATTCCCTGGGAGGTATAAAAAAGAAGAATTTGATCAGAAAACGTGTGTTGAAACCTCCGTGCTGGCCCTCTTGTGACACTGGTCTCTAATAGATCTCCTGGAAATGATGGGACTAGTTTATCATACTACAACTAAAGATTAAACCGAGAATATCTCTGCAGCGCTGTCAGTTTTAACTTCCAATTAACAATTAAAATCTGACAGCCACACAGTTTACGAACTGATATTGTCAGCTGTGCTCTGTATCGGAGGCTTGTCTGATAATTATCTGGATTACTTCATATTTTGACCTCTTCGGGGTTTTTTCTCTCCCATAGACTATTTTTGCGTAAATATTTAAAACAACTAACTAGAGTAATGAAGACCTGAGTGCTTTCCAGAAGTTTCATCCAAACAGCGAGGGGTTTTGGATGTTTGGTTTTGATTTCATTCTCTCCGCCAATTTCGGGTCTCTGAGTACAAGTACTGTCAAAATTCAAAGATACTATAAAAATGAAAAGCGGGTACCGCAGAAATGAGAGCACATTTGAACTAAACCCTTCTCTGAGAGATTGATTTGGAAACCTTTGGTTCCTTAATAACGTGATTTCTAACTTGGCTATTTCATCATAGGCGTATGGCAGTACATTGATATTCAAGGTTTCAAAAAATATCTCCACGTTCGGCTTTTCCAGGACGAAAGACTGAAAAATGAAGTTGGGCGCGAGGTTTGATACCAGATTATCATTTTTGATGGCAGAACATCCTAAGAGACCTCTTTTATCCATTCTTGTCTGCGTATCCCCAGGGCTAGCGGGTATTGGGGGCCAGCAGTGGAGAATGCTTATTTTAATTACTTTTTTCCATAGGAGAGCATTTGGTGCTTAATCAACAATAGTGCTTAAATCACTTATGATGGGAAATGGAATTACACAGTATATACTCCCTGCCACCAATACTATATGCCACCAACATTTTTCACCGTGGCACACTGGATTTGCATGGATTTCTCTCCCTTTGAGCACATGTGTTCACAACAGACACCTACAGTATTAATCTGAAGTTTCTCTGAAGGTGTTTCTTTCAAAGAGAAATAAAATCTAGACTAGTTTCCCTTTAACGCTATGTTTTAAGAAGTAAAGCCAACAAAAGAGCCTGCCTGTGAAATCTATCACAGATCTTGCACCGATGGATGCAACAGGAGCAGTGGAGACTTTAGTAGCTTCCATAAAGAAAAACTGACATCATTTTTAAACATGGATCTTGCGTATAATTTCACATCTGGCAGTACGGACTAGCAAGATGCATAGCATTATAAATAATGGACTTTTAGGTCTTTCCTCAAAGCCATGGTCAGGTACACATTTATAAGGCTTCATGGTTGCAGCATGAACAAAGTGTTAGCCAGCACTGAAATCACTCTAGAAGCTTCAGTCGATCCACCTATGCATTATATAATCTCAGTATGAGCCCCAGTCATTCATTCCTAGTGATATCCAGCTCTCTCAATACTTATCCCTCCAGAGTTCTTTTCTTTTTTTTAAGATTTTTATTTATTTGACAGAGAGAGATCACAAGTAGGCAGAGATGCAGGCAGAGAGAGAGAGAGAGAGAGAGAGAGGGAAGCAGGCTCCCTGCTGAGCAGAGCCCACGCGGGCCTCGATCCCAGGACCCTGAGATCATGACCTGAGCTGAAGGCAGCGGCTCAACCCACTGAGCCACTCAGGCGGCTCATCCCTCCAGAGTTCTTAAGCTCTCCATTTACTCTTGTGCCTCCCACTCTTGGGCCCTATTTTTATCCCATTCCCTGTTCCTAGGATTTGAGCAGCTGCCACCTTAAGGACCACTGTTCTCCTTCAGTTCTGTCTCCCTGCCTCACCTTTACCAACCAGCTTCTTACAGTTTTACTTCCTTAAAAAATGAACACACACACACAACTTCATCTCCTTTTGTCTTCTTTTTCTGACTTAAATAAATCGATTAACTAGCCTCCTATGAAACTGCCCTGCTCTCATCTAAGAAGGTGTGGTATACTGACATTGACCAAAGTAGGTTCTAACCCTGGCCGGGAACAAGGTACTTCTCTCTCGGGATATGTTTTCCAATCTGTAACTGGAGGAGAAAATGATCCTACCACATGTAGGTCGTTCTAAAAATTAAGCAAGATAACATATACGCATCACCTAGAGTAGCAGAATTGGCTTCAGGAAACACTATCCAAGATTCTTATTATTAATTATTATCATTATTATTATTAGATGTTTACCTTCCTTTCACATGACACTTGGAGATTCTTCCCATTTTAGTCCTCATCCCCCAGAATTCAGGATCAAATGAATTGAATACAGTGCAATACTTAAAGGAATTACTCTGTGTCACGACAACTGTTCCTAGCGCTCTTTTGGGGGGACAGATGCTCTCACTTTGACTAAGCCAGCTGCCATAGGAGGTATTAAGGCCAGTTCGCGTGCTACTATTCGGTAAAAACTCTGCAAAGATGAGAAACCTCAGGCCCAGGGACATGAAACAGTGGAGAAATAAACCCAAAGTTGCTTTGTATTCAAACGATGATCCAAACCTGTTTAAGATAACAAATTGCCAATGCGTCCCTCTGATTAGCAATCCTTGGAGGAAGCCGAAATCTTTGCCAAAGCAGTCTTTTCTGTAAGACCTGCGACTCTTAAGGACTTTTAAGGAAAATGCAGCCGCTTTTTGTCCCCTTGGGGGATCTAACTCCTAGTCCTTTTCGTGCTAGGACATTTGGGGGGTACCTACAATAGACTCTTATGCAGAGAAAGTGGGCTCCCAACTCAGCCGCTGAAAGGATCCTGCGGCTTCGAGCTCTTTGGCTATTCCAAGGTTAGGGCAGGCCACCCGCCAGACTGATCGCGGACTTGGCCTGGAGGCGGGCTGGGCGGGCCCCGGCACACATCCTAGCCCCGCCGCTGGGCGTGGCGTAGGGCCAGATGGGGCGTAGCTGGGGCCGCAGGGCGTGACCGGATCCTGCAAAACTCGGCCCAGCGACCCCGGGGCGGGGAATAGACGAGGCCCGAGGGTGGAGTGGGAGCCGGAGTGGGGGAGACGTTGAAGTCCCCGCAAGCTCGCCCTGCTGAGGGTCCCGGGGGAGAAGGCGGAGCGCAGCGAGCGGAGGGAAGGTGCGCGGGAGCCGGAGCGGGCGCGGCAGCTGTGGGCAGGGTAGGAAGGGTGAGGTCCGCGGGGAGGCGCTGCGGCCGCGGCCGGCCTTGCGGCCGAGCCCTTCGCGTTAATCCCTGCGGGGAGCCCCCGCGGAGGTCCCCCTGGGGAAGGGAGGTTCAAAGCAGCCCGCGCTTTGGCAAGCTGCTGCGTTTCCCCCAGATGCGCCGGGGAAGCTGCAAAGACGGGGATTGCGAGGCTGCGTGAAGCCCAGGAGGCTGGCCTGGGCTTAGAAGCAGCTGGTAGCCCCAGAGTCTAAAAGTCCAGCGAAGCCTGGCTTGAAACCTGAGGCCGAGAGTGCGGCGCGGGGCAAGGCCCGAGGGCCCGGCGTGGCGCGAGCTCAGCGTTGCTCGACAGAAAGGCTTCGGAGTTGTCGTCTGGCAGCTGCGCTGGGCCGGGGGCTTCTCTCCCATATCCGTTCTCTTTTAATGAGCTTTGAAGTCACACCTCTAAGCCTTGGGCCTTGGCCTTGGCCTTTGTTTTACCGTCTCCTGGTTCTTCTATCCTAAAGATACTCGAAACACACTTAAGTGCGCCTGCCTTTTGGATAGGAGCTTGGTATTTACAGCCGCAGTGTTGTGATATTTGCGAAGACGCCTCAGGTGCAGTGACACCTCCGAGGGGGACACATTTACAGAGAGCTTCTGCCTTGTATAAAAACGTGTCCATTCGTCCTTAAATCACCGCCACGGCGGAGGAAACTGACAAACATTTACTCCTCTCCTAAAGGATCATCGCTTTCATTGTCAAATAGAATGAACGTCAGGGAGAAAAGAGCCCCAAGACTTATGACACCGACTTAGCCCGTTACATTTTACTTTGCATAGACAGCAGGGGTGTACAGCAGTTATCCTAAAGACCTAATGTGATTCCAGAAATAACTCATCCCTTTTAAAAAGAAATCTCCGTGCGCACTGCAAAGAGAGATCAGACAAGAGAGATTGCACTTGATAGCAAGATAGCAACTTAATTTTAAAAAGGATAATTCGAACACAAAATTCACAGCGTGCTGCTTTATGAAATTATGTTTTTCATTTGTGGAGGCTAGATGTTGTCTTATTATAAAAGTTACTAAAATATCTGTAATATAGATTTGGGGCATAAAATAGCAAAATGCATTTTATTTTCATTCCTTGATCTTAGAGTCATGATAGGAATATATATATATATATATACACACACACACACACACACATATATATATATATATATATATATATGTATATATATATATATATATATATATATATACATAAAATCAGTTAGTAAAAGCAAATCACCAGGGATCTTCTTTTAGCTCTGTGCACCTAACATTGCTCTATGTCAGTGTTCTCCTGTTCCAGCGGAGGAAGGTAAGGCACAGAAGGGTAAGCCACACTGCTGCAAAGTTTAGAAAAAAATCCATGTCTTTCCAATTCCAAAACCTGTGCTCTTACCACTTAGCCACCCTGTACCTGTGTTTTTCACAAGTCTGCCCCTGTCTAACAGGAACTAAAGGTACTCTGGTAGAGGGGGGCAGGAAGCCAGATGGCTGGCTTAAAGAACTCTGAGGACCCATGAGTGGAACCTAATTCTATTTCTGATTCCAACTCTGTGACTTTGTACAAGTTCCTTATCTTTTCTGGCACATAAAAGTAATTGATCTCTAGGTCTCTACTAGATCGAAAAACCTATAGATTTTTGAAAACAAGATTCTGCTTTTACCGTTTAATGATATTTTTGGTCACACTTGGTGTCAAAATTACAGGGTGGCCAGGAAAGGTTGGTTTAATCCATTCAGTAAATGCATGTTGTATAGCTGGACATGCGGTGGGGCTGCTCGGATAAGGAACAGGACACATGAGGTTTCTAGCCTCCAGGAGTCTATATTCTGTTTGGAGGCAGAGAGACTTCAGGAAACAAAGAAAAAAAATCAACAAACAAGTTAATTAACCAACAGACACAAATTATAAACGGAAGGCTGTGATAAAGGAAAATGGAACTGGTGGGGTCGAGGGGGTGGGGAGGGGGACACTTTGCATGTGTTTGTGAAAAGGAGTCCTCACTAAGACCTTCTAATTTAGAAGGATGAGAAGGACTTAGCGATGTTCATTACTTTCAGTGGGACCTGCTCAGGCAAAGGAGCCCTGAAGGATCTTGGCATGTTCGAGAAATTGCAAAATATCTTTGAGACGGAGCTGGGGCAATTGGTTCAAGAAGAAGTTGGAAAGACAGGGTGGTACCAGGTCCTGCAGGGCATTGTGCAGCCTGGTAAGCTCTCTAGATTTTCATCTAACAGCAGTGGGAAACCACTAAAGGGTTGTGGGCAGGGAAGCCCCACGGAGGTGGCTATGATATAGCCCAAATGAAGGATGGGGGTAGCTCAGGCTGGGGTAGTGGCAGTAAAGCTAGAGAATGTGGAATCTTTAACCGTCACTTTACCAGCAGGGCCTTCCTAACAACCATATTTAAAATAATATTCTAGCACCCCTCAAATCCCCTGCATTCCCATCCCTCCCTTCCTTTAGTTTTCCTGCATACAACTTATTCCCATATGACATACTGTTTCTTTTGTTAATGAATTCTTTACTCCTTCCTAGGAGAATGTCAACTATGTGAGGGCGGGGTTGGCATGTTTTATTTACTGCTGTTTCTCCAGCACCTGATGCGGAACCTCATGCAAAGTGGGCTCTTAATCCATTTCATTGTAAGGATGGATTTGATAAATGCTTTGGATTTTGATTCTATAGAACTGACTGATGAATGGCAGGTGGTGGTGAAAGGGAAGGAGAAGCCAAGGGTGCTTCTCAAGATGCTGGCTCAGAAGCTGGGCAGAGGTAAATGTTAATTAAGAAGAGGAAGGCTAGGGAAAGAACAAATTGGGAATTGGGGTAGGGGAGATGGAAAGTTACATTTGGGGTGTATTAACTCTGTGATGTGTAGATTAGTTACCTATTACTATATTTTTTAAAATGCCCTAAAATTTAGCTGATTAAAACAACAGCCCTTTGTTATCAGTTTCTGTGGGTCTGAAATTTGGGCATTGGATAGTTGGGTTTCTTCTGGCTCGGAGTCTCTCGTAATGGTAGAGTCAGTCCATCAGCCGGGGCTGTGGTCATCTCAAGGCTTGACTGGAGCCATAAGTTCTGCTTCTTACCTTCTTCACAGGGCTATTGACAGATTTCGGGTGGCTGTTGGCTGGAGGCTAGTTCCTTACCATATGGACCTCTCCATAGGGCTATTCATGATGTGGCTTCCCCCAGGGCAAATGTTCCAAGAGGGAAGGAGAACCCAAGATAGAAGTCAGTCTTTAAAAAACAAAAACAAAAACAAAAAACCTGATCTCAGAAGTAGCATGCTGTTACTTCTGTTGTTTGCTGTTGATTACACAGACCAGCCCTGGTGCAGTGTGTGTGTGTGTGTGTGTGTGTGTGTGTGTGTGTGTGTGTGTGTTGGGGAGCAACACAGGAGTGTGAATACCAGGAAGGATGATGTTGTTGGGTGCCATTGTACCATCTGCCTTACCACAAGGTCTATGTGATGTCCAAGGGGAAATGTCATATAGGCTGGTGGGTATATTATACCGCAGCTGACGGGAGAGATCTAGGCTACAGATAATTATTGGGGAGTCATTAATCGTGATATATGAAGCTCTTGGAAGTGTATAACAGGACCCGGGGAGAGAATATAGGTAGAGAAGGGAGGAGGAACCTGGACCCAGTACCCAGGACCCCAGTACTTAGAGATCAGTGGAGGAGGAGCCAGCAAAGGAGGATGGCGAGTGAGGTGGGAAGAGAACCAGCACAGTGTGTGTTTTGGGGTGACTACACTGAAGGACAGGTTTCACTGGACAACTTTCCCCTTCCCCATGTAGGGGCAGAAGATAGCTTGAATATGGCTGAAGTGAAAAGAATTTCTGAAAAAATGCAATTTAATATAGTTTGCAGTGTGAGTAGTTAAATTTTGACCCAGATAAAAGCAGAGAAAAGGAGAACACATATATAGGTTAGAACATTCAGAGTCTCGAGAAATCTATGTCTGTATCCTCAGTGCCCTCTAGGTGTGGGATTATAGTTGGTAGAGAGCCCCATGTAAGGATTTTAGGGGTTACTTTCAGAATTAAATCTGAAGACAAAATAATGAACTGAATAACATAGGAAGAACTACTGACCTTGGAAAATGCCCATCCTTCCTTCCATATGCTTTACAGCGTTTACCATATGAGGATTCTTTCTCCTCAAATGTCTTAAATAGCCCAGTGAGCCATCCAGTAACAATGGGAAAATTAATTCCTGATTAAGTTCTGCACAGTAGCCCTATGAACTTCACTGTTAACAGGAGGACCTAAGATGGTTGAATATATTTTTTACACACCAGATGTTCTTTAGGGTGTGTTTTCAGTAGTCCCAAGTTTTTCTAAAAAGACTTTCATTTTTTTAAAAAAGCTTCTCATTCATAGACATCCTCCCTCACTTTAAAAAAAAAAAAAAAAAAAGGAAGAAGGAGAAAAATAAAATACCTGCTCCCACCTGGCCACCTGGCCTAAACCGGCTCTGAGTGCCTCTTCATGAAACTCAGTGAGAAATATCTGCCTGAGTCCACATGCTTTGTGTGGGAGTCTCTCTGTCCCCTTCCAGCGGGGTATGGCCATGTGCCTTGCTTTGGCCAATGAGATGTAAGTGGAGTGACGTGTCACTTCCAGGTAGATGCTTTAAGAGCCAGTGAGAGGTCTGTCACATTCTCTTTCCCTCTGCCACAGCGACCACCAATTTTCTAGATAGTGGCTGCTTGGTCAGCTTGGACCGGACAGGAGGACACAGAGCAGCGCCCCCTGTCGACCTGTGTTAGACATGTAGCGAGAGCTAGATACAAGCTTTTCTTATGTTTAGGCCCCAAGATTCGGGGATTTGTTTGTTACCACAGCAGAAATTAGCCTATCCTGACTAATGGACTCGGGAAAGAGCTGAGCCGCATGCATCCAGGG